TGAACAATATACTTTTCATCCTTTCAAATCACATGATTCGACATTGATATGTTGGAATATCTTTTTTTGAAGACATTTGCGGTCTTACCGAAGTTGAAGTTTATTCTTCATTAGGATGAAATTCTTTGATTAGATAAAGAGATGGAAAATGAAGTTTGATACTTTATACTCACACACCAATGTGAAGTATTTACAATTGGTTGTTTTTTGGATCCAAACTGCGGTTGAAAATCACCAATTTTTTTTTTTTTTTCGACAAACACCATTTATATTAAGTTATCGGAAAGATAGACTCTCCGCTAGGGAGAGCCATTCAGGAAACGACTCGCTTACATGGGAAAAGAGACTATTCCGGGTCCGAGCTTTTTTGGCCAAAGAGTCTGCTCGAGTATTGAAACTACGAAGAAGAAATCTAATACTAAAATTAGGGAAAAAACAAAGAAGAGACCGAAAAGAGGCCAATTCTGCTGCAAAAGTTGGCCAATCATCTTGATATAAAATCACCAAAAGTTGAAAATCACCAATCAAACCCTATACTATCCCAATATAAAATCATGAGTTGTAGTTGTAATCATTTATTTTTACTTTTTTAGGTTTGTCTATTAAAAAATCATATGCAAAGAGATGCTTACATTTGATTTAATACAATGCTTTTTCCTCATAAACATATTAAATAGATCTTGCATTTCATATATAAATTTGTATGTTTCAAAATTTGTAAACTGTTATATATTATTATTCAGACCAAGTGGAACCCAAAATCAATGAACAAGTTTGATACGGCATATCATCAATCTCCAATATGATTCATTCTGGTGAGTGAATTTGTACCAGAACGACACCTTAATGCGTCGTCATCATCTTATCACAATGATCCGATTAGCAGAATTATTATTGCAATTTTTGCTTTGTGAACTTGAACGCTTATTTATTTATTCATAATATGATTAAAGAGAAATTCATGTGAGTAATCAAGAAAGAGGGCATTGAAGGCTTTGAGCCATTGAGAATAAAAATGGTGACTACGTGGTATGTATTCATTGGTTATTTGATCTTTTCTACTATCTCGTGAAATTGGGTGTATCTGATAATTTACAAAAACTAATTTTGGGCCGTTGATTAAGGTAGCAATTTTGGGCCGTTGACTACGATCTGCTGAAAGGTGGGTTCTATTTGGGTTGGAAAGTTTGAGTTATGGTTAGTTTGGATTAGGTATGCGACAAATGTCCGAACCAAGAATTCCGAACCGAAAATTTCAGTTTTCGGTTTTCGGTTTGGTTTCGGTTAGGAAAGCTGAACCGATAAGAACTTTTGTGAATAGTGTTCGGTTACCCAAGATTTTTGGTTCAGTTCAGAAGAACCGAACTGTTAACAGAGATCTTCTTCTTTCGTCGGATCTTCTATTCATATCAGCCGCCATCAAGCTTCTAGTTTTGTATCGGCTGCCGTCGAGCTTCTGATTGGTTTTAGGATTTGTAACATTAACTTTATTCTTTTCTTTTCTTTTTCCACAACCTATTAATTGAAATATCAAACCAAATTACTCAAGAAACTGATTTTAACTGAAACGAACCAAATCAACCAATTTTAACCGAGAAAATATAAATTTTTTGTTAATTTTGGTAAAAGTTGATTAACCGAAAAAACCGAGATCCGATCCGAACCGATTATTTATACGGTTAATTTCGGAATACAATTTAATAACCGGAGTAAACCATAAACCGATTTAACTATCTCGGTTCGGCTTTGGTTCGTAGGCCGAGTTTGGATATAGAGATTAAGGAACCATATTAAACGAAAGTAAAATTGGTTCGGTTTCAAATCGGGTAGCTGTCAGTTCGGGTCGGTTTGGATAATAAATTAAATAACTTTTTTTCGAACCAAATAGTTTTGTAAATTTTTAGTTCAGTTATAAATTATCGAAAAAATACCAAAAAAATATCTTCATTATCAAAAACTAACCAAACTATTCAAACTATTGGAAAAACTAATTGAACTAACCAGAACTAACCGAAAAACAAATCGTACAAACATAAAATTTCCAAACTAATCGAAAAACTAACTGGAAACTAAAATGTGAGTTTCAAATTCGGATAGTTTGGTTACCCAATTGGTTTTTGAGTAAAACTCGAACCAAACCATCCAATTTGATTGGTTCGATTATTTTGCACCATCCTAAGTCGAACCAAACCATCCAATTCGGTTTGCTTCGGTTTGGATATTATGCCTAGGAATAACCAACTCCATCACCAAAATACTTATGTAATTGCACAAAAAGATTGTTACATATATTGATTGTGCTCTAGGACATTTTAGTCGACCTAATGTCCTACAATGTAAATTGTGTAAGATATTTCACTGAAGAATAGTTAAAACGAAACACATCCATTAGTTAAATTTGTGATGAGTATGATTCAAAATATATTTGGGAACATGGTCGGCCCTGAGATAATTTGGGCTAGAAACAAAACCAAAACGGGGGCCGACCCTGAGATACGTTGAGATTAGAAAGCAATGAGAGGGTTTGTGTTTGTGTATGTCGGTGTAAGAGCAGAGAAAACTTAAAAGTTAAGAGTTGTGGAGTAGTAGGGGAGAATAAAAAATAGGGCTTTTAATTAAGTGTCCCTTTAATTAACTAGGCATGATCACATGAAAGATTATTAGTTACTTTGTAATTAATGTTTTGGCCTTACGTTTCTTTCTCTCTCTCCATATAGACTAAACATAAAAAAAAAAAAATTGTTTCTAAATGGGCCTGTTAAAGTTTGGGGCCAAACAAATGTTTCACTGGACTCTGTCGAGGGTCAGTTTTGATTGGGAGTGCAATCATTTATCATCGTTTAAGTGTTTATAAAGTTAGTTAACATTGCTAATGGTAATGGAAGAGCCAATATTTTGAAAGTTTAAAGAGCTTCACATATTCAATCTTGGACCAACAAAACACTTCAAAAAGATCCTCTAAATTTAGAGGAAGAGAAAGGAACAAATGTGCAAATGCAATTGCAAATTTAGCTTCGTCTTTTGATGTGTTCTTTGGTTTCTTAGCCCCTACCTTGGTTAATATCACTGCTGGAATGTGAGAAACAATGTATTAGTTGTTAAGATCTAAATATGGTATGGTTGACAAATTACTTAAAATTATATAATTAGTAACATCATCCTTTGTAATTAAAAAAAAATCAACTAAGTTCTAATGGGCTAGTGTTGTTTAGGGGTGGACACGAAGGGGATATCCAGGATTTTGGTAGTATTTGTGATCCGATTTGCTCTGTACGAATAATTGGCTTTCTGATTCGTATTTGCTTTGACGGCTGTCCGGCTGTCCAGATATCCGTTAAAATTTGAGTTATTTGCCAGATATTTGATTTGCTCAATATATATCAAAAAACAATTATAAAAACTAAAAAAAAAATTAGAAATTTAATCCAAAATAAGAAATATTTCATTGAAAAAAATATTTCTTCTTTAAATGTTAAAACTAATAGTTAAATGATTAATTTGATGAACATAAACTTTTAAAACTTACATATAAAAATGGTAACATTATTAATATTATATCGGGTTTGAGATGACCAAAAATTGATTCTCCTAATGTAGTTCCAAGAAAATATTTTCATATAGCGGGTTTGGCCATCTTTTTTAGTTGTTAAAAAAAACACATATTCTTTTAGGTTTAATCTTATTAGTCTGAGTTTTTTTTGTCTAAAATTCCTTTAATTAAGAAAAATATGAAATTTAAACGAACTATAGAATTTGATACAAATTTGTGTTTTGCTGTGTTATTCGTTTTGTTGTGGTTTGAAGCCTCAGGTTCAGCTTTTGGGTAGGCTTGTTTGACTCCTTGATCTGCCTCTCTCTCTGTCCTCCTCTGGGTTTTCGGTGTGGTGATTTGGCAAAAGGTTCTGTTTTGTGGGTTCTCCAATCGGATGCTAGCCTTCTATAATGGCATCTACTAGCTCTCTGTTGGAACCTCGTTTGGTTTCTCGGCTGAGTTCTAGACGTTGTGGTGGGTCGATCCCTTGTCCTTCTCTTTGCGTGGCGTAACCAGTCTTTAGTCTGTAGGTGGCTTTGGCTGGGTCTACGAAGGTCCGTGTGTAAGGATGGGTGGTCCTATTTGGCGTTTCCCCTCTCGGATCTCAAGGTTTTCCTTGATCCTCTGCCTTCTCATTTTCATTTGGCTCTACAGTGGTCGTGGTGGTTAGGTTCTGTGTTATGATCTTCTTGCTTCGTCGTCTTCGTTTCTGCTGTGGAGATGGTTGTGTGAGCTCGTTTTAGTTTCCTTCTCGAGGCTCCTGTCACTAACCTCTCCACGGCGCCATACTGTTCTATGGAAGTGTTAGTCGGCTGCTTGTAGGGAAGAGATTTCAGTATTGTGGCTTTGGAGGCTTTAGCTGTTACTCCTTTAGTTGTATTCTTTGTATCTTACTTTCTAAAGCTTGATATGTTTGTCTGCCTCTTTTGGCCTTATGTCTCTAGGGGTTTCTATGTACCCGCCGGCTTTGTCTCCGAAAGGCTTTCGTTACTTGTCGGCTTTGTATAATTCAAAATCGCATTCAATCAATGAAATCCTTTAGACGAAAAAAAAAAAAAAAAATTGATACAAATTATTTTCTATTAAACAGTATTAAATTAAAGATCGAATAATGTAACTCAAAACTTGATGCGACCCTCTCCACTTTGCCAGCCTTGTTCATCTAAAAATAAAACGAATCCAGTTTTTGTTGTTGTATAGGTCAACTAGTTTGGTTTAACTACTTTTATACGTGGAGTGGACCTGGACCAATGGACACCGAGAGGCCATAAAGGAAGCACCTAATTTTCTTTATTAAAAACAAATCTAAATAACAAAATAAGTAAAATAAAAATAAAAAAGAAACAAACAAACCGAAAATAATGAAAAGAGAGAGAATGCCAGATGGATGAAGAAGATGAGGATGAGAGATAGCTTCATGATTTGTCTCCGCGACCGCAATTATCTCTTTCTAATTTCTGTCTGAAATAATAAATTAACTTCTTCTATTACCTCCGATCATCATCCTCCGGTAAGAAGACTTCTCGGCTCTTTCTTGATTCTTCTTGATACTGCTTTTTGTCGGCTTAATCCAACTTTGTCTTTTTCATATTTATAATTTTTTTCTCCAGCTGATAAATTCAGAATTCTTGTTTATTATTTGAATTTCTAGAAAAAAATCATTGTTCGTATTTATCGTAAATCCTGGAATTGATTACTAACTCACGTTTCTGAATTGTTTACATAAAAGATGAAAATCCGATGATCAACAAAGATTATAATATGTTTGATTCTTGAATTCCATATTTATTTGATTAGAGTATGTTTCACTGAAACTAGAATTTGATCAACAATGATGTTTTATATTCAATTTTTTTTTCAATTGTCTACAATTTCAATATTTTTGTTTTTGTAGTAATTTCAGGTAACAGGCGAATGGAGGACTTAAAAACTGTTGAAGCATCTGATGTTGTTAGTGACAACGTTGAAACAGTAAATCCTGAGTTGATCGAATCGGCCATTCGAGAATCTAACACACAATCTGTAACAAAGGTTGATAATATTCCACAATCTCAAACTGATACTGAAGAGACTCAACAATCTCAAACTGATGACACTACTGGCAATGCGAAAATTTATGTCGATGACACGTTTTCGCCATCCAGTTTCTCTAATTCTGAAAAATCAGTTACTGCTCCTGATGCTGCAACTGCTGCGGGGTTCACTGGACAAGATAGTACGAGTACAACAATCGTAGAAGAAGTGATGGAGCCAGATGAGACTGGTTTACCTCGTGTGAAGATTACCGAGGCTGCGGTGGGTACAGCAAGAAATGGTGGTTCACCTAGAACTGTATCATCTCCTAGACCACACTTGTCTCCTAGATTTTCAGGATCACCCGTGAGCACTGGAGCACCGAAAAATATGGACTCACATCGAGGCTTAATCGATACTGCAGCGCCATTTGAATCTGTTAAAGAAGCTGTCTCAAAATTTGGAGGAATTACTGACTGGAAATCTCACCGAATGCAAGCGGTAGAGGTATACTACTAACGGATACATTTGTATTATTTCTCGTTTTGTTGTCTTTCTTGTTCATTTTTTCGTGTACGTTATGGCAGAGACGCAAGCTTATAGAAGAAGAGCTTAAAAAGATCCATGAGGAGATTCCTGAGTACAAAACACATTCGGAAACCGCAGAGGCTGCAAAACTGCAAGTGGTTAATGAGCTAGAAAGTACAAAGAGACTCATAGAACAGTTGAAGCTTAATTTGGAGAAGGCACAAACAGAAGAACAACAAGCGAAGCAGGATTCGGAGCTTGCTAAGCTGAGGGTTGAAGAGATGGAGCAAGGAATAGCTGAAGATGTCAGTGTTGCAGCTAAAGCGCAACTTGAGGTGGCCAAGGCGAGGCATACAACAGCAATCACAGAGTTGTGTTCTGTCAAGGAGGAGCTAGAAACTCTGCATAAGGAATATGATGCCCTGGTGCAAGAAAAAGATGTGGCCGTAAAGAAAGTTGAGGAAGCAATGTTGGCATCAAAAGAAGTTGAGAAGACAGTTGAAGAACTTACCATAGAGCTGATAGCTACAAAGGAGTCACTGGAATCAGCACATGCTTCTCATTTAGAGGCGGAAGAACAGAGGATTGGAGCAGCCATGGCCAGAGACCAGGATACTCACCGCTGGGAGAAGGAACTGAAGCAAGCGGAAGAGGAACTCCAAAAACTTAACCAACAGATACATTCTTCGAAAGATCTAAAATCGAAGCTTGACACTGCCTCAGCGCTGCTTCTTGATTTGAAGGCAGAATTGGTAGCTTATATGGAATCCAAGCTAAAACAGGAAGCGTGTGACTCAAACACAAACATTGATCCTTCGACAGAAAACATGAGCCATCCAGATTTACATGCAGCTGTTGCCTCTGCAAAGAAGGAACTTGAAGAGGTCAATGTCAATATCGAGAAAGCAGCTGCTGAAGTGAATTGCTTGAAACTAGCCTCCTCTTCCTTGCAACTGGAACTCGAGAAAGAAAAGTCTACTCTTGCCTCAATCAAACAAAGAGAAGGAATGGCCTCTATAGCAGTTGCTTCTATAGAGGCTGAAATTGACAGAACGAGGTCGGAAATAGCTTCGGTTCAGTCAAAGGAGAAAGACGCGAGAGATAAAATGGTGGAGCTACCCAAGCAACTTCAGCAAGCAGCAGAAGAGGCTGATGAAGCAAAGTCACTTGCTGAAGTTGCTCGTGAAGAGCTACGAAAGGCGAAAGAAGAAGCAGAGCAAGCAAAGGCTGGAGCAAGTACAATGGAGAGCAGGCTATTTGCTGCGCAGAAGGAAATCGAAGCAGCTAAAGCTTCAGAGAGGCTGGCCTTAGCTGCCATCAAGGCTTTAGAGGAGAGTGAATCAACATTGAAAGCTAATGACACCGATTCTCCACGAAGCGTTACACTTTCACTAGAAGAGTACTATGAGCTCAGCAAACGTGCCCACGAAGCAGAAGAACTGGCGAACGCCAGAGTAGCAGCGGCGGTTTCAAGAATCGAGGAAGCTAAAGAAACAGAAATGAGAAGCTTGGAGAAGTTGGAAGAAGTAAACAGAGACATGGATGCGAGAAAGAAGGCATTAAAAGAAGCAACTGAAAAGGCTGAGAAGGCGAAAGAAGGGAAGTTGGGGGTGGAACAGGAGCTGAGGAAATGGAGGGCAGATCATGAACAAAAGAGAAAGGCTGGTGATGGAGTCAACACTGAGAAAACCCAAAAAGAAAGCTTTGAAGGAGGAAAGATGGAGCAATCACCTGAGGCTGCTGTTTATACCTCCAGCCCAAGTGAGTCATATGGAACAGAAGATAACTCTGAAACCAATCTGTCCCCACAGACCAAGTCTCGAAAGAAAAAGAAGAAGCTTTCTTTCCCCCGTTTTTTTATGTTTTTGTCAAAGAAAAAGTCACAGAATTGATTTCAGTTTCAATTCAAACACCTAATTCTCATTGTCTGTGACATCTATTGGAGCTTTGTTTTCAGAAAGAACTCCATTTGAACAAGCATATTGTGATGTAAATGGTCCTTTTTTTTTCATTGTAAGCGAGTCCTCCTTTTATCAAAAGAACAAACGTGACGAGTAAATAAAACAGGGAAAATCCAAAAAAAATTCCATTTCATCATTTTTGTAGGTGCGGGTGAACAGTTTTTGGGTACTAGGTGCGGGATAAAGACTTTTCTCGGTTCTTCGGCAAAATATCAACAATTTGTTTAAATCTACCAAGTTAAGTATTAATATTAATATAAAAAATATTCACATGTTATATTGTTTAAATTATTAGATTGTTTTTTTTTTTTTTTGATAAAAAATTATTAGATTGTTTGAGAGATTTTGTAGATAACATTAGAATAACAAAAACAAATTACCTAATCAACATCCATCATTATATTAAAAAATCAATACAACAATAAGTAAGAAAACAAAAAAACCAAAATTTCTTATTGAAAATACCTTAAAACCAAGAGAATAATCTTTGATATTAGAGATTAACTTTGGGTTACTTAATGATCGGTGAAAAACTCTACATTACCGATACTTTAGCACAATTATGATTGAACATAAATTTAGTACACGAACATGATATACTAATAGTAATAGTTCCTAAAAAAGTTTGTCTAATATATATATATAAAATAAAATATTACAACATAAACAATATAATACCTTGAAAAACTTCTAATCTAGCGAATATGATAACGAAAATTATGATTGTATCACGCCAGCTCTTATCATATTATCTTGGCACTCGACATTGCACACGTAAACCACTTGAACATAAGTACAAAATTAATATATTGGAATCTAATTATACTAAATCAACATTCACTTTTCAAAAACGGTAAGTCTGTCCTTCTGTCACGTGTGCTTAAGTCTCAAATTTTTCTCTTTCACTTTCGTAAACCAATTATACTGTTATTATTCAACAGATAATATTTTGACAAAAAATAAAAACCATACCACTTTTTCAGCAACCGCTCCTCTCCCCTTTTTCAACCCTTAATTTACTACCATTCACAATTTCTACACAATTTTTTTTTTCTTTTATATTCCATTTAAATATTTTCTTATCGACATCTTTTTCACAAAAAAACCACGATCTTGAGTTCTTTGTTTTGCACGATCCTCAAATAAACTTCTCACTTTCATAACCTTTATCAACCGATCTTCTCCAAATCACCATATATCCCAATTGTTTATCACAATTGTTCCTTCACTTAGTTTCGCCAAACCAACTTTGAATCTGCATAAAATTGGAGTTACTTTTACAAACATGAGAGTTTTCAATTAGATCTCGGGACCGTCCTTCTTGCTCAACCGCCGAACCTGATCAGTCAAAATATCATGTTTCATCCTCAGTTCCTTACCGTTTGTTAACCTTCTACCGCTTTTATCGTCTTCTTTCTCCACTCATAAGGTGATTTTTGTTCATCCACACCTTCTTCAAATCACCATCGAATCTGATATTACTTTTGATTTGTAATTTTGATGGTTGTTTTGTCAATTTGATTGCAGGTACAACTGTGCTTGTTTGCAACGTAAAGCTTGGTTTCACATGCTGCTTAACTGTTTGCTAAAAATCTGTATACTAAGAAGGTGGTATAAAAGAACTTAATATTTATTACTTTTAAAAAAAAAAAAACATTTATTACCTGTGGATGATAAGTTAGAACATAATTCTAATTGTTTATGATTATCTTTTTTTTTTTTTGTCGGTTTATGATTATCTTCTTTAGATGATTCGGGAGTTTGTGTGAATATACATACCTTTTATGTAAAGTTAGTAGTAACACCACATCTTGGAATTAATTTTTAATTGTTTAAGAATTCTTGACTATGAGAATTGTTTATTAATAAATTTTGTTGCTAACTAAACTTTTCTATTTGCAATCATCCGTATTTATTCAATATAAAAAACCTATGGGAGAGCAAGATAAATGAAAACCCAAAGAAGAGCCGTAAAATAACAAGTCTTAATTTCAAAAAAGAAAAGAAATGTAACAAGTCTCAAATGAACGAAAATATTATGTATGTGGTGTAAGTATATACTGTTTTTTTTCCTTTCGTTTTTAACTTAATTGCTTTGACAACTTCATCAGCTATAAAATATCAACATAGATGCTCTTAAACGAAGACGAAAAAAGAAAAATGTTCTTAAGTTCGTATTATTTTTAGATGATAACTTATCTTTTTACTATTAAATCATATTTAATATTAATGTGAAACCATAGTAAGTAACATTTATATGTGTTATTCATATACATAAACAAAACAACAAATATCCATTTTTATTACAATTTTTAATTTTAAAACAAATTATGGCTCTGCATGCAGGGGTCAAAATACTAGTTATGTAATAAATGAAACAATATGATTATTTAAATAGTCTTAAATAGTCACTCTCCGTCTTGTATCTCGAAAAAATTCTGATGATTTACGTCAAGTGCTGCTTCTGTTCTGATTCACGACATACACAAGATGTCCAATGAAATCCTCAAATCCAAACGGATCAAATTATATTATAATTATATTTATTTGTAAAAGTCGTCATAGATAAATAAATGAATAAATCTAAATATCTCATACCAACACAAACTTTACGATTTATGCAACCATTCTTGACTTTTTAAAAATTTGCGAAAGTGAAATAATCTCTCTCTGAGAAAGACTTTATCAAGGTAACCGAATTCAATGGATTCGAACGAACTTTAAATCAATGTGTAATATAATACACTTAGTTGTGCATTTTCTTTAGCACCGACAATATATCTCATTTATAAAAGTCATTAAATAAATAAATAGGGAATAACCACAACTATGAAAATAAACAATTGAAAAATATTTTAAAACCATGTATAGAAGTAAAATCTGAAAATGCTTAAAACAATTGTCAGAGAAACTAACTCAATTCTTCTAAAATTAAAAGATGTTTTGGAACAGTTTTTTTGTGCAGGTATAAGTGTATAACATTAAGTGTTTTTTTGGGCGATTATTTCCTTTAGCAGTGACAAATATTTAACTCATTTATTGTCTTTATTCAGGAAACGGTAACATATACTCCCTCCGTATTTTAATAATTGTCGTTTTAGAATTTTTATTTTTTTGAATTAGATGTCGTTTTCAAATTTCAATGCAAAATTTCTTACTTTTTAATGTTTTATGACATCATAAAACATTAAAAAGTAAGAAATTTTGCATTGAAATTTGAAAACGACATCTAATTCAAAAAAATAAAAATTCTAAAACGACAATTATTAAAATACGGAGGGAGTAATTGTTTTGGACTGGTTTAGAAAGAAATAACTTATTGTAGACAACCTCTAAAGCTGACTCCTATTAATGCTCATAGCAAAAACAATAATATGAAAAACTGTCACCTCACATTTTAAACGTTTTTTTGTTCTCAAGCAAGGAAAAAAATATTTTTACAATTAATAATGAAATATTTACTCAGATGTTATAGAAAAGTTGGAATATTACTAGAATATCATACATTTTTTTAAAATTACTCATATGTTTAGCGTCTTTGTGTAATTACAATTAACACCCTTGGTTAGTTTTTTTTTAATTAAGATTTTTTTATTCTTTTTTTAATTAAGAAATGATTAACGAAAATTAAGATAATCCACGTCATTAAAAGGAAAACAAATTAAAGCCACGTCATTAACGTCATTAAGAGGATCGTTTCGGTTTCCCTCTCTGTTACTTTTCATCCACCAAAAAAAAAAAAAACTCTTTCTTCAACCAGCATTCCGACGAAGACGAAGACGAAGAAAACCTAATTTTTCGCCGGTTATCTTTCCCTAAACTCTCTTCCTTCCGGCCGAAACTTTCAACTTTCTCGTTCTCTCTGTCGCATTTCCCTAAAGTCGGGACCTTTTACTTCGTTTACTCAACTCAAGTCGGGACCTTGTTTAAGGTATGAGTCGAAACTTTATTTTGAATTTTCCGGCATTAATCCGGCATCTAATTTCAATAGCAAGTGATTCCCGTAATTGAAACAGTTTTCCGAAAACTATCGCCAAGAAATTGAGGGTTTTTATCGACGGCTGATTTTCGCCGTCGTTGATTTACATATGGTGGCTGATTTGTTATATCTATTCGATTCGATGGCTTAGTTACTGTATGCTTTACGACTGATTGATGATATATCAATGCATCTGTGGCTGAGTTTGTTCTATGGTGTGGCTGAGTTACTATATGCCTACGGCTGACTTATTGTTTTTCAATGCATCTGTGACTGAATTTGTTTTATGTTGTGGCTGAGTTACAATATGTTTACGACGGAGTTATGGTTTATCAATGCATCTGTGACTGAGTTTGTTTAATGTTGTGGCTGAGTCTGTTATATGTTATGGCTGATTTAATATATGCTTACGGCTGATTTATGTTTTATTAGATGGCTAAGGTTATTTCTGAAGAACAACCAAGGGATTACCCTCCAAGGGCTTACCCTCCAAGACTTTACGCAGAAGGGGAGTCTGTTCTGGAGAATAAAATGATTAATCACAATATCAAGATGGGAGAATTCCCTGCGATTAGAGAATCAATTGGACAAGATGCGTGGAATGAAATGAAGGGGTCACCTATTGGAATAATTGCTAAGCTAGCTGATAGCCAATTCGTGTGGTCTGGTAAGACTGTTCATTTTCTGCTGTGTAGACAGTTAAGAATACATAAGAAGGAGATTTGGTTTCTGGTTGGTGGTCAACCTATCAGGTTTGGCTTGAATGAATTTGGTCATATCACTGGGTTAAACACGGATTCAATCTCTACAGAAAAGTTTGAACCTAAAGCTGACTACAAAGCGTTCTTTAGTGAATTGAATGTGCCTGGTGGTGAAGGTCCAAAGCTAGATGAACTGAGGGCAGGATTATTAGTGTGCCGGTCATGGACTCCTGAAAAGCGTAAGTGGTTGGGGCTGTTGACTCTTCAAGCCATTGGATTTTATGGCTTGCATCATAACTCTAGAATACCATTTGAAAGTGCAAAAAGAGTGTTTGATGACGAAGCCATGAACACTTATCCATGGGGTCGGTCTGCATTTGAAGCCCTTGTTAATTCTATAAAGATGTTGAGGCCTATTGGAAAGACGTACACCATCAGTGGTATGGTTTTCGTGTTACAGGCTTGGGCGTATGATTCAGTCAAATGCTTTGGAGAGCGATATGAGAACGTAGTCAACAAGGATGAGATACCGTTGCTTCGTTGGGGTGGAAACCGTACACGTACATCAATGGAATCGACCATTGCTGAAGATATCAAAGCGCATGGCGAGGTAAGGTTTTGGCTGTGTTATGATAATTACTGACTGAGTTATATTTTTGATGGCTGAGTTATATTTTGTTATGGCTGAGTTATATTTTTGATGGCTGAGTTATATTTTGTTATGGCTGAGTTATGGTTTGAGATGGCTGATGGTTGATTTATTGTTAGTGATGTCTGAGTTATATTTTTGATGGCTGAGTTATTTTATTATGGCTGAGTTATGATTTGAGATGGCTGATGGTTGATTTAGTGATGTCTGAGTTATACGTATTGATGCTTGAGTTTAAACTTACTGATGGGTTTTTATAATCTCTTATGTTATAGCTGCGTGTGAGTAAAATGGTTATGAAGGATGATGTAAGAGAGCTGTTTCATACTTGGCCAGATGAAGAAAAAGACATACCACTTGATAATTTGATCCGAGACATACATGAGGATAAGTTTGTCAAAGGTTATTGGGATGTGAGGAAGACTGAGAAGAAGAAGAAAACTGTTAGTGATTTGGTGGACAGAAATGAGGGTGGGAAATCTGAAGAAGGAGATACACAAAAGAAGAAGAAGAAGAAGAAAGAAGAAAAGGTAAGTGTTATGGTATGTAGTGAGTTTATATTTTATGTAATGTTTGGCTAGCTTGTTTATGCGTTTTTGTGTATGTGTTGCAGGGTGGTAGTGCGGAGGACGATGCTCTGGTCGATGTGTCTGTTAAAACAGTCGTGGATATGATGAATCAATTAAACTCAAGGTTTGACACCGTTGATACAAGCATCAGAGATGTATCTTCAAATCTGGAGAAGGTGATTGGAGATAGATTAGAGGCGAGGGTGGATGCAAAGTTTGAAAGCAGGTTTGGATCTATGGAGAAGGAGTTCAAACAGATGAAAGAGCGTCTGAATGCCATGGTGCAGGGTTTAGGGAAATCCGATGACAACTGTGAGGGAAACTCAGAAAACAAACTTATAGATTCGGTCAGAGACCCGACCAAAATCAACCGTTTACTGAAACGGAATGAAAAAATAACACCAATGAGTCCAATGAAACCTCCACAAAACCAGTCTGTTACTAGTCCTCTGGTAAGCTAACAGTGACAGACATATGTCTGATTTATAAATACATTGCGGCTGTGTTATTATTATCTTAATAACTGAGTTATCATAACGTTTATGCAGGCGAAGGATAGGGTCGATGTAGAGAAGGACACTGGTATTTCTGGTGTCAGTAAGAAGCTGGAAAAAAAATTTGAGAAAGTCATTGATGGAAACTCTGCTATTGATTTCATCGACAAGTCTCCCTCATTTAGGAATTTACGCTCGAGGAAAATTGACACAGCGAAACTCGCAGCGGGAAAGAAAAAG